GAAAGGACAATTCAGAGCTCTTGCACAAAGTCAGACTTCAAGTGACAAACACATTCTTCCTTGAAGGTGATGGCAGTCAGTTACAAGTGCACGTCCTGCACACTAACAAGTAGCTACAGAATGGCACTGTGGGGAAGAGAAGCTGATGCTACTATACCTTTTATAGAGATGCAACAGGGGCCCAACCCTAAATATCATGCTTTTTTCTGGTTTCTACAGACATAGCAGTCAGCCACAGTGCAGCGGTGGCTTTGAGAGCCATAACTGAGCTCAATATTCTGAGTGGTGTTTGAGGAACATCATTTCTACAATGCAAAAATTAAAATCCTCACATGAGGTGAGTGATACCCAGGAGAGAGGATGCTTTAATTGTATGTATTTTATTCTCTATTTTTCCTCAATTTCCTAACTCCTTTTCTGTACCTTAACAATGATAAGCATAAAGATAATGTGAAATATCCATTTCCTCCTGCTTCCCCCTCACCTCAGCCCCACCAGTTGGAGAAATTGTACTTATGTTAAACTGTACATTTTTGAAAGCCTTTACTATCAGAAAAAACAATACAATCTTGCACTTATTCAGCTTAAACAGAAGATATTAAATGTAGGTGTAACAGAACAGGGGGAAAAATCACCACAGTTTAATAAATTCTAAATACAGTTCTGTCAGATAATGTTCCTGGTTGGCCAGATAACATGCTTTGCATCATGGCCAGCTGTTCTGGCTATGGAGCTAACCTGGTAATAAGCAGAAAAATGTGTTTGAACGGGACACCTCTATAGTGCGCCAATCCCAACTTTCTGTGTTCTAGCCTTTGGGCGAGAACACATCTTTCAACATCTTGGCATCTTTCAATATTAAGAATTTTGGTGAAAAACCATGCATCTCTCCAGTTTTTTGATCAGCATTAGCTGTTAGTGGCTTGTGTAAAGGTAGTACTCCAGGTGTAGGTATCTCAGCCATCACCCACGTTCTAGCACTGAGCAGCGAATTCTGTTTTCTTTTGCACCAACATCTTTCAGAACCAATTCTTTAAAAGTTACTGGTATAAGTAGGAACAGAATCAGGCTCTTAGTTTCAGATCTTTGTGTAGCATGGACAAAATTCTGGTTTCTGCTACACCTGTGATTTCTAGATTACACTCATGTAATCGAGGGTAGAATTTGTCCTCTGTATAAAAATGTTCTTCAGTTTCCTTTGCATTTAGTGGTTGTGACAAATAGCTTTCTTTGTCAATGGATCATGGTGCTGCATTTACAAGAACATCCTCTGTTAAAAAGAGCAATTTCCTCTTTGTTTCAACTCCTGGGGCTCTTCAGAGTTAATGCCATGGAATTAGATCAGTTCAAAAAGAATTTGATTGATGAGGGATTTGAACCTTTATAACCCCAAACCCAAACCCCAGATCTGGTCTATGGTCTAATAGTGCAATTTATTTTTCTATTTGCAAATTCAAATTAAACCTACACTGCTTGGACAGTATGCTATCGTTTAAAACCACTTCCATACACAAGTAAGTTAACAGTTCTGAACATCCTAACCTGAAAATAAGAATGATATGTTGCAATAATATATCTTTATAAAATACATCCCTTGTATGTTGCTCTAGGTCTTTTGTAGTTAGTGCTTAAGTGAGACATGCGATACTAACAGATATGAAATATAAAATCTAAAGGATTCAGGCCAACTAGAAAACATGTATAAAATGGCAGTTTAGAAGGTTCAGCAGAATTAAATGGAAATCCCTGCAGTAAATCAATTGCCAAAGTGCTTCCTTACTACCACTTAGAACAAGTTGTTTAAAGGGCAGTCCCCAACAAAACCCAGTTGGGGAAAAGCCCATTAAACTAGGGCGGTTTGAACTGAAATCAGTCTTTTCAATTAATCCTCTTCTTGGACTCCCTCTAAAGCATAAGTTATTTTTCTTTTAAAGAGGGATTTCAAGCTGGAGCACATGGTTCTGTATCTCAAACATACTTTAATTTCCTCTTCACTATATTTTCATAACTTTTCTTGGTTACATGCTAATTATTAAATTTATTTATCATGTGAACAAGGGTTTATTCTTTCCCACACATTTTGGGTTTGTTATGCTGGTAAAATCAAAAGCAACCTGTCTGATGTCAGCAAAATGGCATGGGATAAGAATTAGTCTATAATTGTCTTTTAGTGAAACCATAAAGCTAAATTCTCTCTCCCTTTTAAACCTGCACAACCAATGGGGCTGATCAGGTGTAACTGGTGGCAGAATTTAGCCCAAAGTGTTGAAGTTGAGACATGACGTTAATTACCAGGGCTGATGTCAAAGGCACAGGTTTTGACTTCACCAAATGACACATGAGGTAAATCTAGGCTGTGAATAAGAAAGTGCTTATTCAAAAATAAATGCCTTGAAATAATAATGTAGCAAATGGTATATTAACAGGCCAATAAATTGCATTTTTTATAAATGTTCCATTTTTTCATTTTGGCTCTACTATGAAAGTCCTTTTTTAAGAGAAGTAACATAAAAGACAAAGCTGTGTTAAAGAAAATATGTTCACTCTTCCAATGGTTTCATATATTCTGTTGCTTTTTAAATGTAATGTTTATCTAATAAATACTATTTCACTGTTAAACAGTAGCTCTGTGTCTGTGTTCCTATTTTGAAAGGCAAGACCTCCTTTAAGTTTTGCTATGCTGTCTCTGAAAAAAGCTCTGCTGTAATGAAAAGAGATACTATGTGGCTGGAACAGGCTCTCAGGGAAGTCTGCTTGCCATGTTGTGCCTCTGGGCAATTTATCCTTCAAACAGATCCCAGAGTTTTTCTTTCTTTCTTACTTGTTCCTTTTTTTAATGGAAATGCAGGTTCCTGTGTAAAGCAGGCAATACCTTGAAAAGAAAGTTAATCTAGATAATAATTTACCATTGTTCAAAGTCAGGCGATTAGTTACCTGCATGGATCTATTTAAATGTTTACTGTTGCTTTTTTGATATGCAGAGGGGGCAATATTTGGATTATTTTTTGGACATTCAGCTCATACTCAAGGATGTGTGTAACTTTCAGCTTTTACCCTCAGTGGACTAGTGATGTTCTTAAAAATATGTGTTTGCTTAAGTATTTGCTGAATTAAATCCTTAGCGTTTTTCAATAAAATCAATACTTTGCAACTCTGATCAGTTAAAAAAAATAGCTTGTATTCTATTTCTTAAATGGAGTAAATAAAACTCATACTTACGAATGCAGTTAATTCCTAACTGTTTGAACATTAGTCACTTCTATCAAGGTATAAACTGAGTATGGCTTTAAGAAATTCAACATGACTGAACACCGTGGGTTACTTACTAGAACAGGGAACAAAGCCCCAAAACACTCCCACTAATTTCTTTTATTTTCAGAGGCAGTTAAAATGAAAGGTAAAAGCAATGCATCCAAAATGTCTCATCTCTGTAAAACAGGTCATTTTGAATTTTTTTTTTCTGTTTTTAGTTATTATTTTATATGTTTTGAACCTTCATCTTAATTGTTCACCTTGTTTCTAAGCTTTTAATATGGCTCAGTTTTAAGGACTTGCTATTACTTCCTGCTCACATGCTATACTAGGTAGGCAGTCATCTCCCACAGTGACTTTAGAGAACCACAGAAAGTTTGGAGATGTGGGTCCTGATTCAGCAAAGTCCTTAAACACCTGTGTAACTTTAAACCTTGGAGGAGTCCAGTAAATGCCTATGGAGAGAAATCAATCAGTCACCCTTTCTTGTGGCAATTTGTACTTTCTCCTACAGTCTTGCCTGGAACTAAGAACAGAAGTGCATGAAACTGAAACTGAATTTAAAAAAATTCTACTAACTTTTTCCAAATCTTAAAAAACAACCAAACAAAGGCTATGACTGAGAGGTCATGTCAGCCCTTTATATCATCACTGGTTCACTCCTACCTCGTTATCAACACCAAGAGAGTGGAGTTCAAGTGACCTATCATTGCAATCCCAAAATAGCAGGTCTCTGATTTAAATTGTTGCAGCTCTCCTGCAGTACATTATAAAATGTCTGTGAAGCTGTGGACAGAGCTGGTAATTTCTTACTGGCTGCAATGATAGTTAACTTGTGTCTATCATACCAAGTAAAAGCCCTAGAGATACTTTGGTTTGGGCCTCCATTTTATTTACATACCATATAGAAAAAGAGGCAGAGCTTGGGAATAGAAGCCAGGAATTCCTAAGTTTTAAGTTGTTCTGCTGCTGACTCCATCTGTGGCCTTGGGCTAGTCTGGCATTTAGATACTGCAGTGACTGACACTTTACAAACATTCCATAGATACACACAAGTCATAGATTCACATTCTATGCCATATCAGAAAAAGCACAAGCAGGCAAGGGAGACTTTCAGTCACCTCTAGTGCAGGTAGAATCTGCAGAGCCCAGGAGTCAGTGCTGCTTTCAGCCCAAATGTTAGAGCAGACTCAAGACATACTCTAACCAAGTCAACCTCTCTTCAAGCATCCATAGACTTCTCAGCAGCCCAGAGTAGCCACAAAACTGAGTCTCTATTCACACTATTTCTAATGCAGGTGCAAAGCAGAGACCAGATCCTGGCCATTAGTTCCTCTACCTACCTACCATAAAATAGAGGTTATATTTATGCATATTTTTAACAATGGTTGTATATGCCATTGGAGAGAGTCCAGCAGAGGGCAATGAAAATGGTTAGGGGACTGGAGCACCTGACTTTTGGGCTAGGGACAGGCATTACACATAAACTGGTTCAAGTTATCAGAAAATGGTTTAAACCTTTAACAGAACAGATGTTCAGTGCACATAAACCTGTCTGAAAATGGCTGAAATTGGTTTAAGAGAAACCTGGTTGAATGTAGTATCAAACCTAACTGATTTGGGTCAAACCAATTTATGTAATGTCTGTCCCAGACCCCTTTCTGGTTTAAGTTAAATCAGAGTCCTCCAGAATCCAAGATGCTCTGAAACTCTGGGCAGGCCTCTGCTTTCTGCTCCAGCTGGCCCCACCCCTCTGCTCTCTGGCTACAGCTCTGGCAGAAACTTACAGGCACAGCGGCATCTGCCTGGCTTCCCCCTGCTCCTCACTCTCCCCCCTTACCACTCCTTGCTCAGGTACGGATTTCCCCCTCCTCTCTACCTTACACAGATACGTCTCAGCATTAGCTAGCATACCACGTGCTGGCTATGGTCCATGCTGTGGGAGATGGGACAAAGGCAGACAGGACAGTGTTGGCTTAGGGCTTTTTGGAGCTAGTCAACAGGTAGCTGGTAATGTCCCTCCATTACTTCCTTGGAAAAAGTTGTTTAAAAAGAGCTTGAACTAGTGAGAGAGGCTTTGTTTTGTTTGATGGGCTGATAAATGCTAAGAACTTTCTGTGTAACTCCCTGCTGTGTAGCTCAATGCTCTGCTATCAACAGCAAACCCCTCCCTAATCCAAGTGCCCTGCTGGGGCCTGGTCATGACCCCTCTCAGCTCAGCTTAGCTGGGTTGATATAATTTGGGATGGTCCTGATTTGAGCAGGGGGTTGGACTAGATGACCTTCTGAGGTCTCTTCCACCCCTAATTTTCTATAATTCTACAGGCATACCTCGTTTTATTGAGCTTCGCAGATATTGCGTTTTTTACAAATTGAGGCAAGACCCTCCACCAGCAAAAAGATTACAAGTCACTGAAGGCTCAGATGATGGTTAGCATTTTTTAGCAATAAAGTATTTTTTAATTAAGGTAGGTACATTGTTTTTTTAGACATAATGCTATTGCACACTTAATAGACTACAGTATAGTGTAAATATAACTTTTATATGCACTGGGAAACCAAAAAATTCATGTGACTCGCTTTATTGCGATATTCGCTTTATTGCGGTGGTCTGGAACCGAACTCGCAATATCTCCGAGGTATGCCTGTATTTCTATGTCTACTTAGGGTACTTAAAATGATTCATTCAACCCGGAGCCCTTTTCTGCACTGGCTTCATGGGTGCTATATCCACTCTATCATTTGACAAGGTCTTTGAAAATATTATCAAATACTCAGTATTATGATTAACATCACAGGCCAGCGTATGCACACCTTACAATAGTGAGCAGAGACTTGCACTGAAGTCAGCAAGATTGCATAGAAAGATCTACTTGCCACTGTATATAGTGGGGTGGAACACAACATGACCCTATATTAATATGAACAGCATAGAAATACTATGCTAAGCAGGACTAAGGGTGTTTATACACGTGCTCCAGGAGTGTGTGTGTGTGTGTGTGGGGGGGGGCATTTTAATTAGAGCAGCTCCAAGAGCCACTGTAATTAAAGCACCTAGAGCATCAGGTGTATCAGCATCCCAGTGCTGAAAAATGGCAGTGGGGGAGCTTTAACTAAAACTTGTCAAACAAGCTTTAGTTAAAGTGCCCCAACTCCATTTTTTAGTGTAGGGGTGCTGATACACATGATGCTGGAATCTACTGGAGTGCAGAAATTACCACATTCCAGCAGACTTGATTAATCTTGTAATTACAGCACGTTGGAGCAGACTTGCTGCATGTGTTTAGGCACCCTAAGTGACTTTCATGTTACACCAATGCTTATGGGAATTTTTTAAAATGAACAATTCAGTGAAATAGGAAATTGTAAAAGAAGCAAAGCTGTGATACAAAATGAAGATAATTGCTAAAAACACTGGAAGATGTTTTGCTATAATTATATAGCATGTTAATAATACATAAACTATGGGGTGCTGTTGGAATGAATTGATATAAAATATTGGTGTGGATTTCCCCCTCCTTCTCATATCTGTCTTTGTAATTCAGAAGAATGAAAGGAGCCTGATTACTAATTGGGAACAGTTCAATAGGTTACCATCTCTATGAGAGCTAGCTTCCACAAACTCCTGTGGGGCCAGATCCTTTCAGTCCTATTCAGGCAAACTCTCACTGAAATCTATTACGATCCTTCAGGATTTGGCCCTATATTTGTTACTTGCTTACTTATAGAAATAGTCCTGGAAAAACTTCAGGCAAATTGAAGCCTTTACTGTGGACACAGTGAACAGCTGTTGGGTCATAAAGAAGCCAGAATGTCCCCTGGGTAAACTCTCTTGCTGCTCAGACAGCACAGAGCCAACACAGACAGCTCTGTACTGCTCTACTGTACAGCTTCTGATGCAGGGACTCGCCAGGATGAAGCTGGAAGGACTTTTTGCTGACTATTTGAATTTATACCAAGGGCTATGCTGGGCCATATTGTGGCTCCTTGATTCACATTAGTAACACATTATTCACGTGCCTAGTCCTACCTTTGTATATAGTTTAAATCAGTGAACAAATCTAAGTAAGAAGTATTTCTCTGAAGCTGTAATTCAACAGGGGATCCATAATGGATATAGGGCACATCATTCAGTACACACAACATGGTATCACCTGACACATTTGAATGCTAGAGTTTGAACTGAACTGCAAGGTTCAGATCCACTCACCAAGTTTGGCTTGTGTTAGATCAAAGGGGTAAGATTCTGTGCTGTGTGTTACACAATGCACAGCTCAGAAGAAGGTTCAGAGAGGGTTGTGCTAGCTTGCTCCAGGGCCCAGCATAGCCTCAGATGTAAATTAAAACAGCCCACAACCCTTCCCACCCTCCCTCACCAACTTTCAGCTCTACTACTGCAGCTCTTTATACCAGATGCTGAACAGGAGAGCAGTGTAAAACTGTATATGTTGGTTATATACTGAGAGAGTTACCCAGGGGCCGTTGTGGCCCCTTGAGTGAATTGCCACATAAAGTGTCCACAGCATGCCCTCCAATCTGCTCCAGTGTGTTTTTTTTCAGGATCATTTTCTAGGTAAGCAGGTCTCTTTAAGGAGTGGGAACCAGATGCCAAGGTAATCAAAGAACTCTGCCTCCCTAATATGTGAGGGCAAGTCACCCCATTTGCCACCACAGATAGCTGCTAGTTTGGAATAATTCCATCTCCTATTTCCCTATATGAGTGCTCCCTGAAGTAATAAATATTCAGGAATGCTGACATCATAAGCTGCTATTTATAAAATCCTTACTTTGAGGGATAGAAATGCAGTATGCATAAAGAGATTCACAATTGGAGAACTGCTAAAGTGAACAAAAAGGAGCTTTACTTAAAGCCAAGGAACAAATTCAGCATTTTTTAGCTTGTGTTTCAAGAAGGTTCAAGAAAGTCAAAAAGAATTGTTGATGTTTTTCACAAGCTGCTAGAGTTAAATAAAATGGTAAAATATCCACTGTCAGATCTGGATGTATGGGTTAGCATGGGACAAATCTTAACAAAGACTGTCTTGTGGTTTTACATTGTACTTCAGTGACCTGGCTTCATCTAAAATATCTGGGAAGTAGCTCATTTTTGTGCTCATGCATCCCTGATTTTGACTGAAATTGCAGCCAGTTGTTCAGACTTCATGGGAAGTTTATGAGGATCATATGTTGGATACTGATCATTATTCAATTAAGTTAATGGCTCTCAGGAGGCATACCTTGCAAATGAAGGCTACACTTCAAGAATGTAGGAAGGCTAACAACTGAGGGCTGTTTGCTCCCCCCTGCGCAGTGTGGAGTACAGGGAAACATGCTTGTTGATAACATGTGTTTTGTCCAAAGTGGACTGAAGGGAATGTCTGAATTGCAAGCCTTCAGAAACCTCAGCACTGTAGCACTTTGGGACTGGAACACCATATATTTTGGTGCAAAGGGTTAATGACTGCAGATTACTTGATAGGAAAATGAAGTAAGGAGCAGGGACTCTACTAGTGTGCTTACCTAGGAAGTCTAAATTATTACTGGCTGATTTATTTTCTGGTGTGAATATTGCTACTTGAAGACTTAACTGTTTTTTCTTCTATCTTCATTCACATGGCTTCCACCCTCCTCAGAGGTGAAGGGGATGTGGGGGGATGGTGGGTTTGGTTAAAACAGGGGCAGGCAATTATTTCAGGTGGAAGGCTATTTAACGACTTTTGGCAAGTTATGGAGGGCCTCAAGGGTAGCCCTGTCCCTTGACATGTGTTCTGCTCCCTGGTCACCACGTTGGGACTGGAAGTCTCATCCCCTAACACCTTGCCTTTGCCACTGGAAGTCCCTTCCCTTGTCCCCCCAGAAGTACTCCTTTTAGCAATGGTTTGCCATCTCAAAACTGGAAACATATCATATTATATTCTAAAAATCAAACATCTATTACAACCTTCATTAATTTAATAAAAAAAATTGTCCTGATTTAATGCGTTTGTGTAGAGTACATGTTTGTGTAGTGTAGGTTTGTGGTGTGTGGGGGAGGGTGTGTGTGTGTGTTGGGGGTTGTGGGGAAGTGGATAGGTGTGGGGTGTATATGTGGGGTGAGGAAGCATGTGGATATGTGGGGTGTGGGTGGGTATGGGGTTTGTGGGGAATGTGAGTGTGTGGGGGAAGGTGGCTGGGGAGGGATGTGGCATGTGGAAGGTTTGTCCACAGGCCCCCATAGCAGGAAGAGACCCCTTAGCACTCCACTAAGCCTGGGCTCTGTGCTCCTGCCACTCCTGCCCCTGGGTCACCAGCAGGGCCCCATGCTGCCGCTCACTGCCACTTCCCCCCCTATCTATCACCACTGCCCTTCTGCCACTTACCCATCTCCCCCACAGCTTGCCACTCTGGCATCATGTCCCAGCTGCACAGTAGAGACAGCAGGACACAGCAGGAGCTGCGCTGGCCCAGTGGGCACCACACAGAATCAGCTGAGAACTGCAGGGGTCAAGCAAGCTCCTGCTGCATCCTGTGGTTCAGTGCTGCAGCCCGGAACCATGTGGTGCCAGAGCAAATGGCAGGGGGTTGGAGGGGAGCGGCACCAGAAGTGGGCAAATGGCTCCATCAGGGGTGGGGGGTGAGTGGGAGTGAGCGAGTGCACACAGCGCAGCAACAGCTGAGCGGGAGTGTGGGACCAGCATGGTGTGCCGGGGCTAGCACTGGCAGGGCCCAGAGCGGGGCAGCAGAAGTATGGGGTGTGGGCTGGCATGGCTCTATGGAGCCAGGCTGGGCTGTGCCAGCAGAGAGAGGGGGAGCTGGCCCAGCTCCATAACCCCTGCCAGACTG